CCCGAGGCAGGCAGCCACCTTCAGGGCGACTACTCTAGCCCACTGCACAGATGACAAGATCAAGGCTCCCGGGGGAGTGGCCTGCCCAGAGGCACACAGATTAAAAGCAGAATCTGGACCCTGTTTTGAATCCTGCCCCAGGCAACCTAGAACAGTACTGCACACTGGACCTTCTCCCCAAATCCCCAAGCTGCACCTCTGGGCCATGACCTGTCCCCACGACAACGGCACAGGGACAATAAGCCCTCGGAGCACCTCCACATCCTTTGGGTCTTTGGGTGCAGGGCTGTGTTTTATTGCCTTTATTTCACAAAATTAACTCAATGTGGCCCCACACACAAGCCTGAGGCGTAGGCGTTATTATTTCCAGAAGAGGCCCTAAGACAGAGAAGTTAAGTGACTTGCCCAAGGTCACACAGAGGGTAGGTGGCTCCCGGGAATGACTGACTGCCCAGCCTCCTACCGCCCTACTCCCAGAAGTCTGTCCCTGGGCCTATTCTCTGGCTGGGGAAGCAGCAAGCGCGGCTTCAGGACACGGCTGGCCCACCAGGCCTGCAAGAACCACACGGCAGACACGCCCCCTCCCATGCACTGCCCTTGCAACAGGGTTGGGATGGCGGCCAGGTTCCAGCCCAGGACAGACCCCACCCAGGACCCCCAGACACCCAGTCCTCACATCCTTTAAGAGGCAGGGCTTACCCAGCCCCTTCTCCGTCAGTTTGCAGTGAAGCCTGGGGCCCACCTGGACCCCAAACTCTCCGCTGGGTCCCAAAGTTATCACATCCCCTTCCCCTCACATCCCCTGGGGCCTACCAGGCTCGAGCCCATCAGCCCATAGGCCTCCCAAATTTCCGGTGGGATTTCCCTGGGCATCAGACCCCCTCCCTTCAGCACCCCCAGGCCCCAGGGAGGAGACTGCTGCTGCCCGACCCGCAGCCCAGCCCCAACTCCCTGCAAAATCCCAAGGAGAACTGAGACCCCATGACTCGCCCCGGGACACCATCCAGCAAGAGCCCCCAGCGCCTCCCAGTCTCCTCCCAGACCAGAAAATTCCCCCTAAATTTTCCCCCAGGACACCTGAACACATCCCCAAAGACTCCCCACAACTGCCTGGCTCACACCCCCTCAGTCGGGGATCCCCAGATCTCCTCGATCGGCGTGGGCCTGGCCCATCTCCACCTGCAACACAGGGGGCCCCAAGATCTCCTGGGGATCCCTCAAGGGGTGGGTCTGCCCCAGACTGCGGCGCTCACTCAGGGGACCCCTCGATGGGTGGGGCTACTCCAGTGCACATCCCTCGCCCAGAGGTCCCCCGAGACCCCCTGGGAACCTCCGCGATAGGCAGGGCTCAATCCGGCCTCCATCCCTCACTCGGGGGGCCCCGACACCCGCCGAGGACCCTCAGAGACTGGCCTAATCCAGCGAGAACTCCTCGACCAGGGTCCCCCGAGGCCCCCCGGGGACCCCTCGGTGGGCGGGGCTTCCTCAGCATGCGCCCTGCACTCAGAGAACGTCGACAGCCCCCATGGGACCCCTCGGGGGCGGGCCTGCCCTCCCCCAGCGTGCACCGCTCTCTCGGGGCTCCGCGAGCTGCCCGGAGACCCTCGACGGGCGGGCCTGCCCTCCCCCAGCGTGCACCCCTCTCTCGGGGCCCCGCGAGCTGCACGGAGAACCTCGACGGGCGGGCCTGCCCTCCCCCGGCGTGCACCCCTCGCTCGGGGCCCCGCGAGCTCCCCGGAGACCCTCGGCGGGCGGGCCTGCCCTCCCCCGGCGCGCACCCCGCCCTGACCCCCCGCCCGGCCCGGGGCCCCGCGCCGCCGCGCACCTCGCGCGTGGTCACCTCCTCCCTCTCGGAGATCTTGAGCAGCAGCCGGTCGTTCTCGAGTTCGAGCGCGCGGACGCGGTCGATGTAGTGCGCCAGGCGGTCATTGAGCTCGCGCAGCTCCTCCTTCTCCTGCAGCCGCGACAGGCGCGTGGGCGACAGCGGCGTGGAGGGCCCGCCCGCGCGGCCGGGCGGCGGCGTGGCCGTGGCCATGGCGGCGGCGACGGCGGCGACGGCGGCAGCGGCACGGGGCCCGCGCGGTTCGGGACGGCGGCCGCGGCTCTGCGCGCTCATTCAATCCGGCCGCCCGCCAAGATGGCGCCTGTCGCCGCCGCCAGCGCGGGGCCGCCTGGGACTTGTAGTCCGCGGCCGCGGGGCACGCTGGGAGCTGCAGTTCTTGCGTCCTCGGCTGGCGCCCACCCGCTGTCTTCACACCTGACCTGGACCGCTTAGCGCAGGGCCTCGGGGTCCCCTTGTTAGCCTACCTCCCTTTTGGGGGGTCTTATTAAAGTTAAAGGTGGGAAGAAACCCCATCAACACGCTCAGTGGTCTCACATGTGGGATCTAAAACAAAAAACCCAGCTCACAGGCACAGAAATTGGTAGTTGGCAAGGGGGCAATGGGGTGAAGCCGATCAAAAGGTCAAACTTCCAGCTGTAAAATAAGTCCTCGAGTGTCATGTACAGCATGGCGATTATAGGTAACAATGCTGGATGGCGTGTTTGAAGGTTTCAAAGAGAGGAGATCTTGAAAGTTCTTATTGCAAGAAAAAAACATTTTGTCACTGCGCGATGATGGATGTTAACTAGACCTATCGTGATCATCTCACAATCTACACAAATATATGGAACAATAGTTTGTCACCTGAAACTAATGTTATATGTCAACTACATATATACACCTCAATTAAAAAAATCATGCCCAGTAAAAGAAGTCAGACACAAAAGGCCACATACTAATTCCACTTATCCTAAATGCCCAGAAGTGACACATCTGTTGGGCAGGGTCTAGGCAACCTGGACGTTTGGGCCCCGTCACTAGGTGATGGTGGCGGGACGGTGCTGTTCACTGTAGGATGTGAATCAGCAGCCCTCCTCCACCCCCTTACCAGGAGCGACGCCAGCCCCCTCCAGTAGGACCACCCAAAATGACTCCAGACATTGCCAAGTGTCAGTGAGGGGGCGAAATCGCCCCCAGTAGAGAACCACTCCCTTCCCCTCTCCTGGAATTCACCAGGTGTTCTTTCTGCCTGGTGAACCCCTCCTTCCCACACATACTGCCCTGGGTCCGAGCAAACCCCACAGTGAGAATGTGAGTCTCTTTCCAGCCTTTTGCATGGGTTGGGGGGGGGTCTCCCCAGGGAACTCACCTGTCTTGAACACCTGATGCTCACTCCCTACTATTCCCCCTGGTACCAGAAGCAAAGGGCTGCCCACTGAGCAGCCAGACGGCAGGTCTATGGCTAGATTGTGACTATGCCCCTCTTCTCAAGTCACTTGCACTTGTGGCCCCCACTGTTTCACAGGGAGGAACATCAAATGTGGACAGGCAGTGCGTTAACGTGCTCGTGTTAAAGCAGAATGTGAATAAGTGAGGCAGGGCGGGAGGGAGAGAAATGCTTGCGGTTTGCGGGTGGTCTGGGGTCACCTTTTCTGCCCACTTAGCTGCAGCCCCCTCCCTAATCAAAGCTCCCGCCGACCACCGTCTGGTCGCAGCGGACCTGACCCCCACGCCTGCCCCTCTAGGCGCTTGGATGTCCCCGGCCTTAGCCTGTGCGGGTCCCCCCGCCAGGATGCAGTTCCCTCTGTAAACCAAGTGTGGCCCCGGTGCCCCGCCCCGACCTCTCAGCGCTGGGCGGGAACCCGGGGTGCCCGGAGCGCCCCCACCCCGACCGCGGGGAGTGGACTCCAAGTCCCAGAACTCCCTGCGCTCCCCGTGGGTGGGGCCCGGGTTCCCTCCCCGCGCTCAGCTTGGGAGGCGCTGGCAATTTTCAAATCTTGGTGCTGCCCGGGAGGGGCGGCTGCAGCTGAGACCCTATCCCTCCGCCCACGCACCCCGGGAGCCCGAGATCAGGGCGCCCCCCACAGCTGCCCCGTCCCCCCCGCGGGATCCCCGGGCACGACACGAGGCGGGGGGCTCCGGGCCCATCGCCAGGACGGGAAACTGAGGCAGGGGGCGATTAGGGGACCTGTCCGGGGACCCCCACGCCCCCAAGAGGGGCTTGGCGGAGGCGGGATTCGAACCCGGGTGTTCTGACGCTGGACAAGCTATTGGCCGATTGCTGCCTGCTCTTGGGGATACGGGGAGCGGACAATGGGCGAGAAATCCCCGGGCCGAGACGTGCCGGCCCCCGAGCCTGCCCAGCCGCGCCCCGCCCCGCGCGGAGTTTGCCGCCAGATTTTTCAAAATCTCATCCCAACGGCTCCCTGCGCTCCCGGCCTGCAGGGCGAGCCAGGAGCCTGAATTCCGCCCGCTGGATCTGGGGCGCCCGCATTTCGGAGCGTGGATCTGAGGGACCCCGGATTCCGGAACGGGGAATGGGGACGTGAGGGCAGATTCTGGAACCGGATTCCAGGGCCTGGAGGCCAAACCTGGAATCTAGGGTCAGCATTCGAGAACCTGGGGCTGGAACCCCATAATCCCAGCTGAAATCTGGGGGGCAGGGAGAGGCCAGCCCCGGCGCCGCAGCTGTTCGTTTGCCGAGTGGGAGGACCGGACCGGCGCCCACTGACTGAGCGTCTCCCGTCTGCCAGGCCCTGGGGCCGCATCAGTGACTAGCGGTCCTCGCTCCTGGGGGAGCTGGCACAGGCCTGGGAGAGGGAGACAAATACACATAACGAATGTGTAAGGAACATGGCGTGCCACAAAATAGTATGTGGAAAAATAAGGCAGAATAACGGGGCTTGGGAGCATGTGGGGAGAGGCGCGTTTTTAAGAGCGTGAGCCTCCTATAGAAGGTGACACATTTGAGAAAGAATTGAAGAGAAGGAAGGGACCAACCTTGTGAACACGTGGGGAGAAAGTTTTCCAGGGACAGGGATCCGCCCAAGCAAAGTACATGTCCTGGCGGACATGGCAAGGGATGGACCTCCAGGGGGGTGCCGAGACATTAAAGAAGGACACAAAGGTGATATAACATCAGTGTATTCTGTGTTATACACTGCTGCTGTGCAACAAATAGTCCAAAGCGTAGTGGGCTTACAGCAACTCACATTTCTTATCTGTGTTTGTGTGGGTCAGAACCTGCGTATGGCTCAGCTGGGGTGTCTGGTTCATGGCTTCACAAAACTGCAATTAAGGGGTCAGCTGGGGCGGGGCTCACCTCCAAGTTCACTCATACCATTATTGGGAGGGCTCAGCCCTTGCAGGCTGCTGGGCTGAGAGGCTCAGGTCCTTGAAAAGACTGTTTCAGCTTCTCATCACCTAAGAGAAGACCAGATGTGGGTTCTGAAATCCTCACTGTTGGTGGGCACAGGGAAGCAAAACCTGAGAAGCCAGATATCCATAGAAAAGAATAGATGAAATCCTTTTGGTAGAGCCCCACAGTGGAATATTACACAGCAGTGAACCTGATGTTATTTATGGTTGCTATAAATGTGGTACAAGGGACAGGAGAAAAGGGACGTGGTTGACCTGGAAGTCAGCATAGGGGGTTCCATCTGGAGCAGAGACAGGGTGGCACATGGGGATGGGCACACGGCCAGGGCTTCCATAGGGAGGCCACTTTGTGTTTTGTGAGCCCAGTGGTGGTGACTATTCTGTAAGCTGGATGTACGAGTTAAGATGCTCTTAGTGTGTTTGACGTATTCCATGCTTCAAAAAGCAACTTCCCTCAAACTTCTATGTCGAACAGTGGTCCGAACAGAAATAGAACATCCATCCACCCCCGGCAAAAATAAGAAATAATTATGTGATCTGATAAAGGAGTTATTAAAGGTACAATGCTAATGATGTTGCAATATGTAAATGTATCAGTCAACACACATCATAGCCTTAAACTTATGTGGTGTTGTTTGTCAGTTATATTGCAAACAAAAAAGTACTTAAAAAAAAAGGAGAAAAGAAATAGAACGTGAGCCCCATATATTGCTTTGCATTCTCTAGTCCCTACTTTAAAAAGAGTAAAAAGAAACGGGAAAGATTAGGTCTTTATGTGTTTTACTTAGCCCAATATACCCCAGTCTAACCAATATTGTAATCAACACAGAAAAATTATGGATGAGATATTTCCCATTCCTTTTTTTTTTTTTTCATTCCAAGTCCTGGGAATCTGGTGTGTATTTTATCCCTACAAAATATAGTATGTTAGATGGTGTAAGTGCTAAGCAGAACAAAAGGAGTATGTGCAGGGTGGTCGGGGGAAGGCACCCTGAGAGGGGGACAGAGGCGAGGGGACGGCGTTCCGGGGGAGGAGCCGGGGGAGGTGCCGGGAAGGGACGGTGTTACCTCCCAGCACAGAGGTAGGACGTGCCTGCCAGCACATTCCGGGAAAGGTTTGATTCCGGACGGTGAGCAGAGGAGGCCTTTGGAGAGCACCCTCTGGCACTAGCCGGGACAGCCAGCCAAGGGGGATGCGGGTGTCCCGCGAGGCACGGGAGTAGTTTTGAGTTGCTGTCAAGGTAACTCCAGTAGGGAAGATGTGCAGAACCCTTTGTAGGCGCCCAGCCCAGCCTAGCTCACCCTACTGTGCGATCCTTTCGACAAGGCGATTTTTCCCATGAAAAGAGGGATTTTTCAGAAAGGTTAAGTCACTAACTCAAGGACCCCAGAGCTTGCGAGGGGTGGAGGTGGGATTTGAACCAGGTGAGCGGGATCTCAGAGTGGAGGCCACTCACCCCATGTCACTGTTCCACACATCCCAGCCTCCTGGCTGCTGGCCACTTCCACGCTCCTGCCCTGCCAGCCTCCTCAAGGTTCCTCAAGGGTGCCCTGGCCTCCAGCCCCCCTGCCTCGGCCTCGCCACTTCCACCACTGGTGTGTCATCCCCCCACCTCCTGGCCCATCCTGTCTTACCAACATCTCCGGGTTCGCATGATGACTACCTCCACCTGGAAGGCTCTCCTTGGGGATAAGAATTGTTCATCTCTGCAAAAAAAAATGACGTCAGAGGCTGGCCCGTCTCCTGCTGCAAACCTGCTTCCTGGCACATCCAGAGGTGGATCTGGAACCTTCCCCACAGCGCCCAAGGACCACTTTTCTGACCTCATGTTCCCTCTCTCCCTGCCATTCACTCACCCCCCAGCACCTGGGGCTCCTTAGATGGGAGAAGTGCAGCCCAACCTCAGGGCCTTTGCACGGGGCTGTGCCTGGAGTTCTCTCCCTTCACAGCCTGGGCTTCTTCGTGTCACCCACGTCTCAGCTCCAATGTCACCTCCTCAGAGAAGCCCACCTTGACCACTCCACCTGAAGCAGCCGGGTTACCATGCCCCCCAGCACCAAAGCAACATCCAGTGGGTCTTCAGTGGGTGCCTGAAAGCTGGATAACACCCCCCATTTGGAGGCAGTTACTATGCACAGAGCCCTCTTCTATGTGTGGACCCCAATGGACCCGCTTCGAGCTCAGAACAATCCCAGATAACGCTATTATTTCCATTTTGCAGAGGGGGAAACTGAGGCACGGGGCTGGGGTTGGGGAATGGCATGCTCAAGTTCACACAGCTGGTTGGGAGGGGAGCTGGAACTCAAATCCAGGCTGTTGGATATCTCCCTAGTCATCCCTGTCCCTCCATGTGCTGTTGGGGGGCCCAGCCTGACCCCCCACCTGCCTGGGGTGGGGTGGGGTGGGTGCTGTGGGAGGGAGGGTGCTGAAACCACGGGCGTTATTTCTCACCATTCTGGAGGCTGGGAGTCCGAGATCAAGGTGTTGTGGGGGTCGGTCCCTGGTGGGAGGACACTTCCTCGTCTGCAGCCCGCTGCCCTGTCAGAGTGAGGGCCGGTCTGTCTCTCTCTCCTTTTCATAATGACCCTAGCCTCACTGCGGGGACACCCTCGTGACCTCACAAAACCTAATCGCCTCAAAAGGCCACACCTCCAATGCCATAGCGCTTCAGCCTGTGGATTTGGGGGGGACATAAATATTCAGTCCACCACATCTACCACGAAGGGGGACCTCAAGCTCTGGTCCCTCCCCAGCCCTGGGCCTCCTAATCCTGTTGCATTCCAGCTGCCAGGCTGGCGGAGAGCCCGGATCTACCCCTCCTGGGCAGACCCACCCCCCAAGCTCTTGGAGACTTGGTTTCCTCCTCTGTCCATGACCTCCCTACCTCCCAGATTTGCTTAGGCTGATTAAAGGCAAGGTCCCAAGAAGCAGGCCAGGCCCTGGGAGCAGCAAGCGTTCCCTCGTAATGAAGAATCATAGTTGAATGCCTGTTTGACTGTTTTAAAACATCAAAACAAAACAAAACAAAAAAACCACAAATCCCTGCTGTGTACATTTTCAAACTTCCAGGTCAAGGTTCACTCAGTCACACCAATTTTTCCTCCGGCCGGGCAAGGTTTGGTGGGGCACTGTTAGCGATCCCGTCCTGATGGAAAATGTCAGTGACCCATTATTCATCACAGATTTTGTGATGCTCATTTTGATTTGAACGATCGTGTAAGAAATATTTATATAATTCTGGACTAAGGGCGGCTGCACACACTTGTGGGTCTACAAATTCCCACTGCAGTGGACGCTCTGAAAGGGTGAATTTTATCATTTGTGAATTCTATCTTCGTAAAAAAAAAAAAAGGCAGGAAGAAATGATAATTTATCCTGATGCCTGAATTTTCAGTCTTCCCCTTAAATTTTGCACCCAAACTGTGAAGGTTCACCCTAGTCCCCACCCTGCGAACTACAGCGAAGCCGAGCCTCAGATGAGAAGAGGTGTCCAGGCCCTTTGCTGCATTAGCCATAACAACCTGTCCCTGAAAAGCCAGGCCATTTCCTGTCTTCACCAGGAAACCGTCTTCAGGGCCCTCTTTGCTTTGTCTCCTCCCCAGCCTGGCTTCCCAGACCACATCCGACCCAGCCCTCCCCCTCCAGACTCCAAACATCCCGTCCCAATCCTCAGGGTCCCGGAATATCAGACGTATCTGGGAGTAGCCTCAGGGAACTCTGAACTCGGTGTCCTTTCTTCCTGATATGTCCCTTCCTCTGTCAGCTTGGGGCCCTCACACCAGTGCTACCGGACAGACTGAAGGACATGGGAACCGTGAAGGTGAAACAGCTTCAAAATGCTTAGTACATCGTAAGCGCTCAATCGTTGCTTGCTTTTATTAGCATCTTCAAAGCAATGCAATGCTGATTTAAAAAAAGTGGCTTCGGTGATCTATTCTGGAGATGGGGTATCTCATTGGGGAGGTGGGTATGGATACACCCCATTTCCTGGCTGGGGAGGTCTCTTCCTCCCACATTCTCCAAGGAGAGTTTGTGGGTTTCCCCTGGTAGATGGGGTCACTGCTTTTTGGTGCAGACAGGGACATCCTCAAGGGCTGGGCCTCAGGTAAGGTGAGTGAGGCACTGACTTCAGGACCTAAGTTTAAGGGGGCACCCAAAAGCTCAGCCATCAAGGTAAATATTTTAACACACTATTCAAAAATCAAAATCGATGTCAAAAAAATCCATGATGAACAAGAAATGAAAATTGTAAATTAAAACAGAATCTGGCCCTGTACCTGCTCAGCTCACCTCCCTGCGCCCCCTCCCCAGTCCTGTCTACACTATTTAAAAATCTTGATATTTTTACCATCATGGGTGGGGTGGTTTATTTTTTTGCATACAGTTTAAGTTTTTTTAATATTGCCTTCAAATATTGTTTTTCTTGAAGGAATTTTGTTGCATTCCCTTAAAATTTTTACAATTGAAGTATGACTGATATACAATTTTATATTGATTTCAAATACACAACTGGTGGTTTAACAGTTACCCATATTATTAAATCCTCACCCCGACTAGTGCAGTTACTATCTGTCAACACAGGAAGATGTTACAAAATCATTGGCTATATTCTTCAGGCTGTATTTGCATCCCTGAGACCAACTTGTATTATGACTGATAACTTTGCTGCCCCTTTTTCCCACTCACCTTCCTCACCCACCCACCCCAACTCCTCACACCTGAGATGAGTGCCTCCCTCTCCGAGCCCTAATCCCCTGCCCTGGTTCCAATTAAACTTTACTGACAAAAGCAGAGCCCAAAAGGTGAAAACACTCCAGGGGTGCATTCCTGGATGAGTAGCAATCATATGGATAGGAAGTAGAGCTGTGGGTGCGGGGACTGGGGTCAGTTCATGTCTAACAGGTACAGAATTTAGGATGGGGACGAAATTTTTGAGTCTAGATAGTGGTGATGGTTACACAGCATTGTTCATGCACTTAATGCCACTAAATGGGACACTTACAAATGGTCCAAGTGACAAATCTCATGCATATTTTACCATCATAAAAAACAAGCGCCTCTGGGCAGTAGTTTGTCTATTTGATTTTTAAAAAAATATCGCATTTATAAAATCGCTACATGTTGCGCACTTAAAACATTGTGTATGTAAATTGCAACTGTCAACCCAGTCCGGGTCCCCCTCACTCTCCGCACCCGCCCGAGGTCCGTCTCTTGCGGCGCAGCAGGCGCAGAGACCTCTCGCGGCCACCAGGTGGCGCCACCGCGCCTCCCAGCGCCCTGGACATTTCGCGCCCCCAAGGTGGGCGGCGCGGAGGCGGCGCGATGCGTCAACCGGACCGCGGGCAGGGGAGCCGGAGGACACAGCTGCGGGGCCGAGGCCAGACCCCAGGCTGGCGGGGGAAGGGACGCAGCTGTGAGTCACCCGGGAGCCCCCGATCGACCGTGGGAGACAGTCCCACGCTAGTCTGTCCGCTTGGCTAGTGAACTGCCTTCTCCGGGAGCCGGTGAGGCAGGCGGTAGGCCCTGCATGAGGCTGCGCCTGGCGCACACGTGTGGCTCCCACACCAAATAGTCGGTGGCCTGGCGGAATGGCAGTCTCACCACGCCTCAGTTTCCCTTTTCCCCTTATATTGCAGATAGACAGGGCCCCTGCATACCGGCTCCTTGAGGATTACATGAGCTGTGATTCAGGGAGCTTGGTACAGAGCAGGCGGTCAGTACACGTGAGTCCACTCCGGGGGGAGAAAACCGAAGTGGCGACCACTATTGCAAGGGCACCCGAGAGGCAGCGTGCAGCGCAAGCAAGAATCATGCTCCCCATTCCATCCCCGTTTACCCCGGGCCTGGATTTGTCCCCGCAGTCAGGTGTGGCGGTGACAGGGCCGGCAGGGGGTGCGGGGCGCCCTGGCCCAGCCACCTGCGCCTCCCACGCGGCGCCCCACCCTGAAACTCGCGGAAGGCGGGGAGGGGGCGACCCGGCTCGTCCTTAGGTTTCCGAGTGCTTTGGGTACGTCAAGGCGGCTTACGGCGACCACCAGGTGACATTTATTGAGTGCTTACTGAGTACCCCTTCTTTGATGCTTCCTGCACCACAGTGGGCCGGTGTGCATTCTCATAGGACAGGTGGGGACACAGGCCGCTTTCGCAAGCCCCAACTTTGAGGACCTCGAGGCGGTTCCCCGCGCCCACCACCGTTTACTGAGAGCTTACTGTGTACCCCTTATTTTATTTAACGCCCTCTCCAACCCAGTGAGGCCGTCGTTGCATGCCCACTGGACAGAGAGAAGCAGGGAAGGTAAGTCACCCAGAGTCTGGGGTCCCTGTAGCCAGAGACGCCCACCCTCACCACCTAGGAGGGATCAGGCTGCAAACTGGGTGCCCTCCCCGTGCAGACCCCCAGCAGAACCTAGAAAAGGCACGGGCCAGGGACTCTCCGGGGATCGGGAGGGGATTCCAGGCACCCCCCCCCGCACCCGAAAGTCCGGGCTGTCTCGCGCGCTGGAAATCCCGCGCGCGCCCCGAAACGCGGCGCCGCTGCCGGGAAATCAGGAGAAAAACTTCTGCTTTTTTTTTCCTTTCTGGCACTCGCTCTCCCCCCGCCCTCACCCACCCCGCGGCGCTCGCCCCCACGTGGGGCACCACCCCCTCCGCCTGGCGCTCCGCCCCCTCGCCGCCGGCGGCCAACCGCAGGGCGCCCTTCGCTCGCCTTTGTGGGCTCACCAATAGAGGGGGAGGACGGGCCGCCAGGGCCACGCCTCCGTTTGCACAATTCTATAAAAGGCGGCGCCTGTGGCCGCGGGCTCAGATCGCTGAAGCCCGGGACGCTCGCGTTTGCTTTTCTGCTACCTGGATTATTGCGGGGACTTTGCACAATTCCTTCCGCCTTGCCTGGGAAGGATTTGCTCCGTTTCGAAGGTCTTGGACGAGCGCTCGTGCTTCGTGGGAAGGCTTTGGGTTTTCTGACTGCAGATTTTGCGTTTTCTCCCGCGGGATTGTTGTGGAGCGTTTTCCACTGTGGATTATAACTGCACCATGACGCTGGAAGAGCTCGTGGCGTGCGACAACGCGGCGCAGAGGTAGGTAGCCGGGGCCACCGCCGCCTGCGGCCGGCCTGGCCCGGCAGGGACCCCCCCCACGACCGCCGGGCGCTGACACCCTTCTCCCCCGGCCGCAGGATGCAGTCGGTGAGCGCGGCGGTGGAGGAGCTGCTGGTGGCCGCGCAGCGCCAGGACCGCCTCACGGTGGGGGTGTACGAGTCGGCCAAGCTGATGAATGTGTGAGTCAGGCTCTGTCCCCCGAGCTGGACGCGGGTGGGGACCCCCCCTCCGCTTTGCACTGTTGCCGCTGCACCCTTATCTTGCAGGGGGCCGGGACTTCCTCAAGTGTCTCCATTGTGGATTGAGGGCCTCTGCTTTTTGGGGAGAAGGGGTTGACTGCAGTATTCTGACGCTGCATTATTTGCAAGCCCCCCGCCCCCAGCCCCAACCCCGACCTTGCGCTCTACCTAATCCCCCAGCGCTTTGAAGCCGTCTTGTCCCCCGGCCCTGCAGCTGCGCTCACAGGCCATCCCCCTGCACACCTGCGGTTTCTCTTTGCTTTTGCAAACAACCCGTGTGCGCTGTGGCCCCTCCCGAGTCCCCAGCTGCTGACCCGTCCCCTCCCTCTGGCCCCCTCAGGGACCCTGACAGCGTGGTCCTGTGCCTCCTGGCCATTGACGAGGAGGAAGAGGATGACATTGCCCTGCAGATACACTTCACGCTCATCCAGTCCTTCTGCTGCGACAACGACATCAACATCGTGCGGGTGTCAGGCATGCAGCGCCTGGCGCAGCTGCTGGGTGAACCTGTGGAGACGCAGGGCACCACCGAGGCCCGGGACCTGCACTGCCTCCTGGTCACGGTGAGCCGGCCCGGCCCTGCCCCGCCCCACCCTGGCACCTGGGCCTGCGCTTGTCAACAAGGCTGAGCTGGCCGGCCTTGCACCAGCTCAGCACTCAGCCATGCTTGGCATGTCCCGTGGGCAGCCCGGCCGGGGCTAGTCACCCAGCCTGCTATTCTGAGCCGGCCTGTTTTCTCCACGGGGGCCCTGGGAGAGGGAGGCTTCCGTCTGCCCCTTGGGCTCGCACTGAAACCCCTCTCTAAATCCCCTTCTCCCCCCTCCCACAGAACCCTCACACAGATGCTTGGAAAAGCCACGGCCTGGTGGAGGTGGCCAGTTACTGTGAAGAGAGCCGGGGTAACAACCAGTGGGTCCCCTACATCTCCCTCCAGGAGCGCTGAGACCCTGCTCGGCATCAGAACCTGTCGAGTTGCTGCCAAAAAAAACCAAAATAAATATTTGACCCCCCTCCCCCAAGAACAACCCCCCAAAACAACCCAACCCATGAGATCATCGGGGGCAGAAACGTTGGAGATCGGAGAGGGGAGTGTACGGCCACCCCCTGGGCGGTGAGCCTGGAACAGTGCCAGCAGCGGCCACCGGAGAGGAGAAGAGGGGGTCCCGGGCCAGCAGGAGAGGGAACCTGGAGCTCAGGCCTTGTGACGGAGCAGCTGGAGTGGGGGAGCTGCTGCCTCCCCCGCGTGGAGGGCCTGGACTCTGCATTCTGGGTGGGGTGCCACTGCATCCCCCACCCTTCTAGAGCCGACATCTGCAGACAGGACCTAACTGACTGAGGGTTCGCACCCTTGCCAGGACCGTACTTTGGGACTTGGGAGCTGGGGCTGATGTTGCTCTGCACCCACGAACTCCCAATTTGCAAACTAAACCATCTATTTTGTTACTTGCACTTGTTACTTGAACCACTGAAGTCCAGAGATGGGAAGCTTACAGATAACATGTATTTTTACTTCTACTATGATGGCTTTGTAATAAACTTCTCAAGCTTCTGGGCTCTTGTGTGTGTGCCGCCTCTGGGAGGGACCGCGACCCCTGCCCCCTCCCTGCCCCCAGGCTCACCAGGAAGTGTTACTTAAGTCCCTGTTAGCAGCTCCGGGCTCCTTTGCAAAAACAGTGCGTCTTCTCTCTGCAGCCGGCGCCACCCAAGTCCAACAAATCTTTGCCTCTTTTTTTCTCCCTCCTCCTGCCCTGTAGCAATTAAAAGACCGGTTTATTACGAAACCTGGCCGCCATGCCACTGCTGTTACCGGCTGTGCTGGAGCCAACCCCAAGCTCTGGGCACACACAGACGCACCCCTGGGGGGCTGGCTGCAGCCCCTGCTTACCCAGCCACCACCGCAGCCCGAGGTCCAGAGAGGTCAAGGGGACACCTGGGACCACACAGCGAGGTGGGCTCAGAGCTGCCTTAGCTCTTGCAGGAAGAGCTTTTGGAGAACCCCCCATCCAGGGAGAGCCCCCACCTCCCACCCAGGCTTTCTTCCTAGGCTGGACCTTTCTGCTGCAGTAAGTTTGAAGAAAAAAAAAAAGCGAACACTTTTTCTTTCTCCAAACTGAAATCAACACAGAAAAATACCCCAGGAAGTCGTGCTCCTGGCCCAGCTGGTCTTGGCACGCTGCTGCGATTTGCCTCCGAACCGAAACTGTGAGGCCGGGCCAGCCACCTCTCTGTCCCGGGGCTGCGGCGGCCTGAGCTGCGAGCGCGACCGTGCCCGGCCTCGGCCCTCCCGCCTGGGTCTGCAGGGTGGGCTCGCCCCTGGACAGCCTCGTGTCCCCTGCCTGGTCTGCGGACCGACCGGGGGCGATGAGGGGGCCGCCCGCAGGCCGCGACCTTTCCACGGAGCCGCACGTGGGCGCGGCAGGAAAACCCCGGCGGCACCCCCCGCCCCCCGGGAGTCACGGGGCTGGGGGAGCCCCGCGGGGGAGGAGGGGGGAGGGGGAACTTCCGGGGGGGAGAGCGAAGCGGGGAGGCAGGCTCCCCGGCAGAGAGGGCGCAGGAAAGCCCGAGGTGGAGCCCGGAGCAGGGTCCCCCGCGGCGGGAGGGGCGGCAGGGGGAATCCCTGGAGCCGGTGGGGGAGGGGAGCACGGAGGCCGAGCCTGGGGGGGAGTTCGGAGGGGGTGAGGGGAAGGAGCGATTCCTGAGATGGAGCCCAGCGAGGGCAGGGGACGTGGGGAGGGCGTGCAGAGGCTGAGGGGTGCCCCCGCCGAGTTGGGGGGCTCAGTGGGGAAGGATTAGCAGGAACAAAGGAGCTCTTAGTATCTGGTTGGCGTTTCCTGTCCCCAGGGTGACCTTGGCCATCCTGATGGCGCATGTGACCTCTGACCCTCTCATTCCTAGGTCCCTTGTCTAGCGTGTGGGAGACCCCAGGCTTCTGGGTCCCAAGGAGTTTACAAGGCCTAGATGGGATCCCAGCTGTGTGGACCTCAGCCTGTTCCGTAACCCCTCTGTGCCAAACTGTCCCCCCCTGAAAAATGGGGACAGTAATGTCACTGCCTCACTGCTTGCTGAGGAGGTTGAATGAAATACACGCTCCTTAGATCAGCGCTTCCATAGACAGTAGAAGGATTAGCCATTCTCACTGCCTCCTATGTCAGCACTATTATTACATCCCATGTATTTCCAGAACCATCTCCTTTAATTGACCCTGTGAACTAGCAGAATGGGGAGCAGGGACCCCAAAACTCAGCAAGACAAAGAGCATTTTGAAACAACTCAAATGCAAAAAAAAAAAAAAGAAAAAATAAATAACAATTTCTGGGTGAACAAAATTGTAAATCAAGAAAAGATTGCTGATTTTTCCTCCGGCTTCAGGCTCCGTCCGAAGCCTCTCAGCCTGGCCCTGCCCCTGATCCTGCCTTGATTGACATTTTTGGTACTTGATTCATTCCCTTTGCAGGCCAAGAAGGGAAGGTCCAGAGCAGGGAGCCGTGACCTCCCAGACAGGGGCCACCTAAGGCTTCCGCCTCCAGAGGCCAGCCTCTCTCCGTGTCACCTGTGGGAACGGGGACCGTCCCGAAGCTCAACAGTTCTCCCATGACTGTTACTATTACTGCTGCGGTTGTTGTTGCTGGCACTAATAAAAGCATTGGGTCTTCGGACCCAACTGGAGGATGCTGTGCAGGAACCTGCTTCCAGGGCTGCTGTCTGCTGGGTTAATAGCAGCCACTAGGCTAGACTTACACAGTCCTCCCCGGTGTGAACGCCTCAACCTTGACGGCTGGGGAAACGGACACCGCCTGGAGGGGCCACACCCTGGCAGCGAGGCTGGGGGCCGTAATGACAGCAGCTGCCACTGCGCCAGCCGGCCCTCCGCAGCCTGGAAACCACCCTAGAAGGGGCATGCTGGTATGTGCTCTGCACAGAAAGGAAGCACAAGGGCCCAGAGGGGTGCAGCGGCTAGCTCAGGGTCCCACAGCCAGACAGTGACAGAGCCACGGACCAGGCCAAGGCCTGTGTTATTCAGAGTTCAGGGCCAGGGATGCAAAGCGCACTTCATGAATGACTGTGGCCTAAAGACTCAAGCCCCAATCCCAAGTCCTGGACAACCAGAGACTGACCCACTAATGACCTCCTTCCCCGAGACAGGTTGTTTTGTCCCTAAGGGATACATGCTGGCGTTACACACACTGGGTCCTGGCCAGATACAGTGACCCCGCCCAGTGCAGGGAAGCTGGAACCTGGCCCTGTGCGGGCAGCCCGCGGGTGCCCTGGGGCCAGTTGCTCCACCTCTTGGGTTTTGTTTCCTTACCTGCACGGTGAGGGTACTAACAGGAGCACCCATCTCTTGGGGCTGTTTCAAGAGTAGGTTAACTAAAATATGTATAGCATTTCAAACAGCAGGGAGACTTCCAGAAGAGTGAGGTGGTATGTGACTGTGTACAGGTTCTACCTGCACTCCGTGGCCCGCCTGCCTGCTTCCCTGTGAGCAGAATTCCCCGGGGTGACCGATGGGGGTCCCATGATTATAGTTAGACCCCTCCCACTTCACCCCACCCGGAGACCCCGATTCTGTAATAAGGCTTTGCCTCTCTCTGTGAAGTAAGGCGGCCCCGGGACATAACCTCTTGGAGAGGCGGGCAGCAGATGTGGCTGGTCGCCTGAAGACTTCTGTTCTAAGCATCGGGCATGGATGGCCACATGTGTACATGCATGCACACACACACGTGGGCTTGCACATGTGGACAGCATATGCCCAGACACGCAGAGCTGCAACCGGGCCCAGACACACACAGTGCATGCATGTCCTTACACGTCATATGCTTGCCCTCATGCTAGATTTCCCCACCGTGTGAGCTCCCCGCAGCCACTGTAACAAAGTTAACAGATCAGGGGGCTTCAACAGCAGAAATGTCTTGGCTCCCAGGTCTGCAAGCCAGAAGCTCCAGGGGAACACCGGGTGCCTTCTGAGGCTCGCAGGGAGGGTCTTTCCAGGCCTCTCTTGCTTCTGGTGGCCTGGGACGTTCTGGCGTGTAGGCATTGTTTCTTCATGTCATCTTCTGCGTGTGTGTCTCACTGTCCAAATGACATTTTACCAGGACACCCGTGGTACTGGATTAGGGCCCACTCATCTTAACCTCATCAGGTGCTAAACCCCATTTCCAAATAAGGTCTGTTCTTGGGTACTGGGGGGATAGGACTTCATCTTTTCAGGAGACAGAGTTCAACCCTAACGCTCACAAAACACTGGCACGCGGCTCCCCGTCTCCCATGCAGACGTTTGGGAGCCCTGGCCCACGGTCAGCAGATGTGGCACACAGGGACCCGCGAGGAGACACCTCTTGTCCTGTTGCCCGGCCCAGCACAGGCCCTCGTGCACGTGAGGGCCCAGTGAACACGGCAGGAATAAGGCGCACACCCGGCCACATGTCCAGCGCATGCGGACGGCAGATGCCCAACCACTGCCTCCTAGTCTTCATGCTGGTGCGGGGAAGGGGGCCGGGCATTCATTTATTTATCACTGTCACCCTCCCTGTTCCAGGGTCGTTCCTGGGGGCATTGACTCCCTGGTACTTCCTGTCTGCCCAAGCGGGTCCAGGAGTGACCCTGCCTTAAGAGAAAGACCCCAGGAGAGCCGAGACTCCGGGGAGGCCAAGGGGACAAGGAGGCATCTCTGAAGAGTGGTTCTCAGACCTCGGGGTGCATGGGAAGCCCACCCACCCAGCTTCACACCCCTGGCTCCTACCATGCGCCCAGGGGTGCCCAGGTCTGCAGGAGACAGGTGTTCCCTTTTCCAGGAAGCAGCAGAGGGATCTGGGGTCTTCCTGGGGAAACCTTTCGGCCTGAATAATTGCCCCTCACTTCTCCAGGGTCAGGATGAGACCTCTGGCCTCTGGCCTCTCCCTTCCCTGTGCAAAAAGGGCCGAGCGTTTCCCAGCCCCGTGGGTCCTGGCCCTGCGGTCCCTTCGCCCGGGTGCCCTCCCTGGGCCTCTGTTACATGCTATATCTCCCAGGTGTTTTCTCCCCTGACCTCAACTCCCAAGCAGAGGGTGTGGCCTCTCCTAGATAGTTAGGGTAGCAGTAGTGCCCAGCTCCGGGCTGGGCGTGCACAGGCACGGGGAAGACATTCAGGAGTCGGACCTGCTTGCTGACACCCACCAGGGTGAAGAAGGCGCCCACAGGGCACGTGTGAGATGCTCAACAGCTTTGCAGACGGCCGGAGACCCACAGTGACCTGCGGTAGCCTCCGGGGTCCCAGAATGACCCAGAGACACTCCGGCAGAGCCGTACCCCCTCCCCCAAGGACGCGAGGCGGACGCAGACGCAGCCCCTCCATCTGGGGGAGCCCCTCCCTGCCCTTTCCCGGCATTGTTCATTCCTCCCGTTCCCACCCCACCCCCTCTTGCGCGGCCGGTTCCCAGGCTCTGGCCTGGGCTGGGGTGCGAGAAGGGCGTGCGGGGCCGCGGGGGCCCCGCCGAAGACTCTCCTGCGAACGGGGCTGCACCAGCCCCACGCGTGAGCACACTCGTGTCGGAGCGCGAGCCTGTGCGTGCACGCGTGGGCGGCATTGTGCCGCGGCGTACACAGCAGGCGCGCCATAAATGCTTCGCTTGAGGATGGCTGCTAGGAAGGAGGGGCGGGCCACACCGGGAAGGGCAGCCGCAGAGCTGTGGATTCGAATCCGGTCTCGCGGCTTCGCAGCTACCCGAGCGGCGCGCAGAAGCGTGACTCAGTTTCCCCATCCATAAAAAGGAAAGTCTATTCTCCTCCCCGATGGGGAGATGTGACCAGAGAATGCACGTTAGCGTTTGGCAAACGCTCGGCCTTGGGAACCCTTCCCGCCCTCCCTCTTCCCCACCCTGTCCCAGACACTCGCGGGTGGACAGGGGCGCTGACTAGCGCCCCCGTCGGCCCTCGCCCCAGCAGGCGGGCGTCCCGGCTTCCTCGCTCCTTAAATTGTTTAATTGGAGACAGAGGCGGGTGTGCAAGAGACAAATCCCCGAGTGGGCGAAATGCAGGGACCTGAGCCCCGGGCTCCCCACGTCGGGGGCTCCAACCCGCACCAGCGCCCCCTCGGGAGCGCCCTGGGCGCTCAGCCCCTACGCACCGGAGGCCCCGGGCGCCGCCCCCTCCCCGCCCCGCGGTGCCGGCCTCCCTCTGGTGCCCGTCGGGCGCGGTGTCTGCGGCCGCCCCGGGGTGGGGGGTTTCTAGCCGACGGCGGCCCTAGCGGCGTCTCCCTCCCCCAGCTTCTGGCGGCGGGCGGCCGGGCCGAGGGCGGGGCGTCTGCACAGACCCTCCTTTTGTGAGCGGCGCCTTCCCCTGGCGGCCTGGCGCTCAGAGCCCGGGCACAGAGCCAGCGCCCGGAATAGCCTCCCTGCCCCGCCGGCCGCCCCACGCCCCGCCGAGCCGCCTGACCTGCCCGGCCAGGCGCGGGGAGGGG